GCATCCCAGAGCTCAAAGCGACGTCTTCAAATTGCTCGTTCTTTGTCCGAGAAACAGTTAAAACCCAAAGAGATTCAGTTTACAATGAAAGCAGACAATAAACCCACATTTAAGAGGCTGGCACAGACACATTTTTGTCATTTTGTTGCTTCAAAAGTGACTCAAACAATCGATCAATTATCGAAATAGTTGACAACTGCGTGAGAGACTAATAACTGCAGCTCTAAGTTGTTTGAGGCTGATTTGAAGAGTTCTGAAGAGAACATACAAAAACAACTAAATCCAACAGGCGCATGCACAAAAGCCGAAATGGAGCAGACAAAGTGAAATATCTCCCTGTTGGAAACTCACTCTCCTCACATGGTCTGCAGTAAGTCGTGGATTACCCTACTGACCCAGACTGAGTTCTCAATGACACAATTTCGGATGTAGCACAAACTCCCCAGAGAACATTACTATCAGATCGTCACAGTCCCGCTCAAGTCATGGGGTCTTCAATTTGTCCGACCAGGGAGAAACCCAAACATGAGCACACTGAATCTTTTCACTTGTTTAAATCACATTACAATGTAAACTCTGTCATGTGGAGAACCTTCCCAAACCGGCCATTTTAGGCCCCCGAGTCCCACTTAAAGGGACGGGACTCTGTGCTTTCTCCGCCCGTATGTCAGTAATATTTTAGCAGCATGTGGTTACAGAGTAGTTTCTTAATGACAGGGGAAGCCTGAGCGGTGCGGGGCCAGCTCCGCGGCCTTCTGCGTAAACAGGCGTAGCTGGCTGCCATCTGGTTGGCTTCCACTTCAGAGCGGAGAGCCCGTCGTCGTTTACTGATCATCTGCACTGATTCCAGCTACAACTCCCACAGCAGAATATTTAGGAACAGTTTAGGACAGGCCACACGATTAAAGGCCCACTTCACCCAACTCACAGAAAAAAAAACTTCCTCTCGTTTACTTCTACAAAGAGTCGAGCCGTTCAGATTGTTAAGATTTTGACTTATTTGTCTCTGAGATTTCTGTCTCTACTCCGGTGTAATGAAGGTGAAAAAAATTCAACATCATTTTCTCTTTCCAAAAACGGCGTCCCTGTTTTCACTGGGGCTGTTTCTTCTGTAGACGTATGATGAAAACTGTTCCCAGAGAGGTTTGTGAATCAACCTCAGCAACCAAACACAGCAACTCACAAGTATTCACAACATCAATTACTCTGACTATTACTTCCTTGATGAAGCTATTAGTGTTTTTTTGCTCTATTAATGTAAATAAAATTAGGAAAATTGTGAAAAGAGTCGAAGATGACATCTTCAAATGTCTAATTTTGTTGGAACAACAGTGAAAAAGCCAAAGATGTTCGATGTACAGTGACGTAAAGCAGAAGGAAGCACTGATACTCAGATTTGAGACACTGGAACCATCAAATTTTGGGCATTTTTTCCTTGGAACATAAAAAACAACTGATTGATAGTCGTCGATTAATTTTCTGTTCATTGACTAATCAATGAATCCACTAATTATTTCGGCTTTCAAAATCTGAGCCATGTTAAAACCTGGAGACATAAAAAACCAAATCTGTTGTTCATGGCTAGTTATCACCTTAATGTTCTTAGTGAGGAGCAATCTCTACACAAGGTCCATTTAGGAGCTGCTCTGGTGCTTCACACGATCTTCATCATCATCATCATCATCATCATCATCTCGCAGTGATGAACCCACAGAGAAATATCACCTGAATCTTTTAACGTCTTCTGAGTTGGTGGAGACCAGAAACTGAGGGTGAATATGAGACTTAAATTGATCGTGTGGACACAAACATGACTATAAACAAATGACATTGTTAATCTGTGTCAACACAATGTGTAAATAAGCAAGGTTGTTTTTTATCAATCTCTAACTTTTGGTTGCCCCGTCCTTAAATTTGTGGCTGAGGGTGAATTGTCCAAAAACAGAGTGAACTCGGACACGCTACTTTATCTTAAAACAGATCTGGTGCCATACATCTGCTGTTGTGCCTCTTTTCTAGGACATGAGAGGCCCAAACAGACGTCTTTATTTGTGGGACCAAAGAGTGAAGCAGTTTGTGTGCAGAAGCAAGAGTTTCCCAGACTGCTAAAGGCTTAGGAATCTGAATAAATGCACCTGTGTGGCGGTAAAAAGGCTTTTTGAAAGTACCTAACAACTTAACAAAAAAACACACAGAGCGAGTGCGCGGCTGACAGCAAACATTCATACACAAAACAGTCAGGTCTGTCGGAGAGAAAGAAAGGCTTTCGCTCCTGCAGCAGTTTTACTTCAGTGAAGTGACTTCATTTGAATCACAAAGGAACAAAAGGCTTTCTCAAAAAGCTTTGCGCTGAATGCAACGACAGAAAAGATAAAGCTGCACAAAAACAACATGAAAACACCATCAAAATGCAAAGAAGTTTTGTCATTCTGAACTATGTTGTTATCCAGATAAGCACACAAACATATGCGACTTTTGACCAGTTACACCCCTCTGTTCCCATGACCGAGATGCCTTTTTTTGTGTGTGTGTAGTGTGTGTGTGTGTGTGTGTGTGCCTGCGATACAGTGAGTGTGTGTTTGAGACTGTTGTGCCAACAGAGAAGTCGACAGGGGCAGCAATGGGACAAACTGTGGGAGGTAGAACAGAAAAGGAGAGAAGAAAAGAGAGGAGAGCGAAGCCGGCCGGCTGAAGAGCAGAAAGAGAGAAGTGAAGCAGAAGTAAACGTCCCTCTCAGAGAGACTCTCTCTTATTGGTAGTTCATTAGTCTTGACCTTGCCTTTGACCCACGGTGAATGCTGCAGCAAGCTCACTGCTATGACACCGCCACTATACAAGCCACACACACACACACACACACACACACACACACACACACACACACACACACACACACACACACACACACACACAAAGGAATGCTGCTTCTGTTATTGTCTTTAAGTGCCAAACTCAGGCCAAGGCCTAGCCAGGGTTTCAAAAACAAAATAACAGCCGTGCGAAGCTCTGTCTCACACACACACACACACACACACACAAACACACTGACATATACACACCCAAACACCACTTCCGTCCATTCTCTCTCACAGAGAAAGGAAGCGGAGTCGAGCTGGCCGGGCCCCAGTCGTCCAGACAGAGGCAGCCTGGCAAACCCTGTCTCATGCCTGCCTGCTTCCCCACTCTGAATGGCTTTAAAAGACTCTGTGAGCCCTCGCCATCCTTCACTTCTCCCCTCGCTGCTGACTGTGTCGGCGGATGTAAAGGGCCACTTCAAGTGTGAAGGAGAAGAACCTGATGCAGTTTCCAGACGTTCGTTTATCTGCTAAATGTGGCGGAAATGTGAAACACTGCACTTTTTAATACGACTCATTCTCTCTCACACGTCACTGAACCTGCCTCACACCACTGGAAATTAAAACCATATAGTCATGAAACTTCACAGGCGTTGAAGATAAAAAATCCTCTATTGCGGTATCTATAATATATCAATGAGGGGAGGCTAAATAAGTGAAACACCTCTGTATGATGCAATACAGCAAGTCTACATTCATTTTCTATGAGAAAAGAGGATTCTGGGAAAACGGGCAACAAGAAACCGACCAGAGACACATGAAAAGAAAGGAGTTGAAAGTTGGAATATTTAAATTTTATGTAAATGAGGAGGTTCCTCGGCAGTTTCCAAAAAAAAAAACTAAAAAAAAAACCAACCAAAGAGAAAGTGATGCAGCGGCGGGAATTAGAAAACCATCAACTGCACTTTCTGGAATTTCACTATTGTACGACCTAAATGCCCCTGAGGTTACAGATACAAACAAACATGAAGTTTGTTTGGTCCAAAAGTCACGTAAACTCTTCGAGAACGCTGTTGTTTATGCGTTTGCTAACGTACAAGCTGCTTGCTAGCTTGAAAGCATTAATATACAAAATCAAAAATCAAGAAATTACATGTTATTGAATCAAACATAACCCATGAGTTTAACTTAAATCATGTTATAGAATCGAGGTTTTTCTTCATGTGCATTGTCTCTGCAGCCTCCCATGACGTGAAAATGCCCACAGCAACAACACAAGAAGAAGTGGCGGCCATGATGAGACATGCAATGTTTACGTCCAGCTGTTCGTCTCTGTAATACGACCAGAGATGATACCACAGCATGACAAACTGAAAGTTGAGAAACTTCAGTCTATATTTTTATATCGCCCAACCTCACATCTCTCTCTAATGATGTACGGTTAGAGAACACACTGACACACTCTTACATCAGCGGCAACACACACCGTCTCCTTGTTTGGCTCCGTCACTGTCATCACACTGCATCTGCCAACACCAGCATATTTACAGGGATATCTCATTATGCTGAGTTAAATGTGTACGCTGTCCTTTTCAAACACACTCATCAAACAAAGACAGACTGTACGGCACAAGCTTTACATTACGCTCTAAAGGCACAACATGGGGACCGCAGCGGCTAAATAGCAGGCTTGTGTTCAGCTGCCGTACACCGGTAACAATCAAAAGTTTAGCCAAACAAGCTGTCTGACAGGATCTGGGATGGAGAGAGGGGAAATGAGGACTTGCTTCTTTCTGTGCAGCCAGTTAAAGATTGTCGGCTCTAACTTGGCAAAACCACAGGAAAGAAAAGCTGTGATTATTTCCAGCAACAGGTGATCAAAGATACTTCAACATGCTGACCTGGACATGAACTCCTGACAAACAGAGAGGAAGCCAACAGAGAGGGTAACATATTGATTATAAAGGTTTATAATTAGCTGTATTCCCTCTGCTCCATGTAGACGTACAGTAGATGTAGCATTAATGAGATGATTTTGAGAGGCAGGCAAGTGAAGAACCCATCCATACATCCATCACACATCCGTCTAACCATCTACTTAATGGATACATCCACTCTTCTGCTCCATAAAACCCATTCCCCACTCTTAGCTGCAGTGCCTTAATCACGCTGTGTGATTTAGCAACAAGGAGTCACAGCTCTTACCTTGGGCCATTTGGGATTGATGACACGTGCTTTGACCGCGTCGTCCAGAGCCGTGCTGTACTGACCCAGTCTGAGATAGGCGGCCGAGCGGTTACTGTACAGGATGCAGTTTTGGGGGTCGGCAGTCAGGGCCTCGCTGTACAGACGCACAGCCAGGGCGTACTCCCCCTGCTGGCAGGCCTGGTTGCTGCGACGCACACGCTCCAGGAACTCTGCTTTGCTCAGGCCGGGGGGGGTGCAGCCGGACGGTCGCTCTGTCCTTTTCAACGTCGGGGCTGAAGGCATCACAGGGGAGGAAGAGGAGGAGGATGACGAAGGAGGGTTGGTGGTCCTGCTGGTGGAGCGAGAACCAAACAGGGAGAACTGAGGAGCAGAAGGGGAGGGAGAGGAGAGACTGGTTAAATGTACAGCTGAAATGATCGCTCCATTAGTCAGTAACTATTTTATTGTTACTTCAATCAAAAACATTTCCTTGTTCCAGCTTCTCATATCTGAGGATTTTCTGCTTTTCTCTGTCTTATATCATTGTAAAATCAATATCTTTGGTTCTTGGATTATTGGTCGATTCTAGGAGAATTTAATATTTTCACCAATTTATTTTTACTTTTCACAAACGCCACAACCAAAACAACCAGAAGATTAATTCCACACTTAATTCTTATATTATTTGAGATTTGTTTAAATGTATGGTTTATGGTTTTATTTCATGTAATTTTGTAGATGTTGGTGTTGTATCTTGTATAATCATCAGTACTGTTCGACTAGTTTGGAAACTGGGCCTCGGCTTTCGTCATACGGAAGTAGGCGTAGTTTCATCTGAACTGGGTTGGAAGAACGTCCTGAACAGCATTCCAGCACCTTCAATTAGTAGTAGTAAATAGTAGTAAATAAATCTGACTGGCAGTTTCATACATAATAATGTGGGTCGGTGGACATTCAGAAAAATCCATCCCTTTGTGCCTGTCATTTTGGGTGCGCATGAGAGCGGGCTGCGTATGTGTCACTAAAAAGGTCAGATTGATCAAATTACATGAGAAATAAAAAATAAGTTTCAACAGACAAATAAATTGTGTTTTTGGCTGCTGTTACACAAGTAAAGAAAACATCTTCTTGCAAACAGAATCCTGCCCAGGACGACACAGAAACTGCAGCAGCCTCATTTGCATGATATGATCGTGTAGTTCCTGGCAAATGGGACACCAAAGTGCTGCGTGCACTTTTCTCTCCTGCTCGGTGGTAACAGCTCAAATTCCTCAGAGAGATGGAGAGAGAAAGGAGGAGAGTCAGGCAGAGACTCAGGCAGTCAGATGAGGGTTTTGTTCTTCTCCTTCGTTTCTGTCACACCCGCTGAAACTTTGTGTAAAATGTGCGCACTGAGGTTAGCTCTCTGCAGCTTTAACGTTGAACCGATGCCTCCCTCCCTGATCTGGTGTTTCCAAATTTGTCCTTTCACCAGAGCTTACACCAAGGCCTTCATTATATCTCTCTATTCCCCGCTCTCTCTCTCTCTCTCTCTCTCTCTCTCTGACACACACACACACAAACACACACTGAAATGTTTGGATACACACTTCAAATATGTAGACTGGAGGGATTCCGAAAACTTGCAAATGCATCATCCAACAGCTTTGAGTGAGAAGCCAGAGCATAACGCTGTTTGGAAAGGCAATGGAAATAGATTTGAAATAAACTGCAAGAAAAAAAATGTCTGGCCGTCTCACACCATCAAGTCAGTGAAGATTTGGGTCATTTTACATTAACACTGGACAGCTGCTACTTTTTGTACCATTTCGACGACAAAACGTTGGAGTGTAGTTTAGGTTTATTCTATATTTTTTAAACGTTAAGGGAGGTGAGGAGGGAACGATGTGAGGCAAAGATACTGTGTGAGGTCAAAGGGACAGGTGCATGCAGGTGTTGTAAAACTACAGTATGTAATATAAAGAGTGTATTTAGTCCAGAACAACTTGTAGGATTTCTTCTATTGGACACACAGCAGATTTACACGAGACCAAACAACACATCAAACGTCTCCATCTTGGCTCATCAAGTGAGCTGCAAAACATAATAACGTCTCGAGTTCTCAAGTCCATTTAATATTCACTGTTTACCTAATGGCATTCTTAATTAAGTGTGTCTCTGACAGATGGGGATGTGATTCATTTTGTAAACAATGGAGCTGCAGGCTGTTAATTGTGAGATTTAGGTGCGTTTTTTGTCACTGATCTTGGCACAGCCTTTGTAAACAGTGAGGTCAACAGTGAATGGATTAAAAAAATATCCAAAATAAAAGACGCTAAATCTTCTGTTTGGATCTGTTTTTCACGTTATTTATGCAATTAGTCGTTCCACTAAATTACCTGCAAGTTGAACTTAAATTAGAAGTTGTTTCGCAAAGGAAATTCTTCTAGATATTAAACACTCAAATTATTAAAGTTACTTTCTCAGATTTGTCTTGTCTCGTCTCTGGAAGGGAAATTACAGACTAGTTTACTTCCAAATATACAAATTATTTCAAAGCCTTCTCCACACTGTGAGAAATAAAATTCTGGTTGAGAAACATTGAATTTTTCATGTATTATTTTATATATTTGAATTAAGAGTAATCAAATCTAAATATTCTGAGTCTAAAAATACTAAAAACAGCTGTTTTTGGTATTAGCTACAGCACAGAGGAGTACTGCTCAATCCACAATTCACAGTCTTCTGACAGAGCTCATTTTTCAGCCGTTCTCTCCAGCATGCCATCACCATTCATGAATGTGCCATGTTGTTATGAAACACTTGTTCAAATATGACGAGTGTGATATGAAGCAGAGCTTGTTTAACGTGTTACCAGGGCTGTGTTTGCAGAAATAAACAAAGACGGCCACATATCATGAGTGTGGAACTTATGCGTAAATCTCTGAGCCTATTACTACTGAGTACAGTTAATAGAGCACATGAAGAAAAGTGAGTGGGGGGAGTTTAGTGTGGACTCTTGTAATCACACGGTTTACTTTACAGACTTCACAGAGCAGGTTATGTACACTGTTGTGTTCTCTAAACAGAGGCCTGATTTCGCTGAAGCCTCTCTTCAGTGTCGTGTGGGAGCACCTGAACACAAACTGCAAACGGTTTGTAAGAGCTGAAGTCACGTTTCTGAGGCAAAGTGAAAACTGGAAAATGAGAGATGTATCGACTGATCTGCTCTCAGTGGTCTGAGTTAATAACCCAAGCATATAGTACAATACTGTACTCAAGTACGATTTTGAGGTACTTGTATTTTATTTGAGTAATTCCACTTTATGCTACTTTATACTTGTACATTTTGGAAGCAAAATATTGCCAGCTGTGACTACCAGTTACTTTGCAACTTCAAATTAATAATACAAACTGGTAAATTATTATCTAATATTATAAATCAAGCCACACAGCGGTATATAAAATAGTCTGAAATGGCCTGCTGTATGATGATTACTCTGAACTGAGTATATTTTCATTCCTTCAAAATACATTTTGAATGCAGAACTTCTTTTTTGAGTGAGTCTTGGCCAAAATGGCGTCATAAAGATGACACACAAACTGACACTGAACACTAAAAAAAGAAGGAAAAACAAGAGATGCACTGATTGGAGTCACTTGATTAGCATCAGTGCTGATACTGACCTAATTTAATGGATCAGGTGTCTGCAAGACTTGACGGCTCCACATCAACGGGTCTTCATTCAGCTCTGTTCATTGATGCTTACGTTACTGTAGATACTACACCGTGTTCTGCATTTGCTTCACAATAAATAAATGTGAAGGCAAAGACAAGCCTTTACTCTGAAATTTTGTTTTTACTTAACCTTTATTTAAGCAGGAAGTCCCTTGAGATTAAAATCTCTTTTTCAGGGGAGACCTGGAAAATAACATGTGCAGTTTGGTGACGTAAGATTTACTCTATAAAGTTTATCTAAAACTAGATTTAGTAATTTTGAGCTTAATAAAAGGAAAACAGCTCAGTGAACCTTTAGAGAGCTGGAGTTAAAAACACGCTGTGGAGGAGCTGCGTTGCTAAGCAGTGTGGTTGTGGTTGACAAGCAAACAGATGGAAGAAAAGCACAGGTGAAGTGGTCTGGTGAAGATGTGCAGAAGCATGTAATTATGTTCAGTGAAGCCTCTTCCACCTCAGTCTGTTTTTGGAACGTCTCTGTCTGAACACAACACCAGTGATCCTACCACTACAACTGTGTGTGTGTCACATGTATAAGAAATGTTGAATGCGATTGTGTGTCTGTTGTTATGAGGCTGTAATTAAAATTAGTGCAGCCGTAAAATAGATGGTGTATGAACATTCACACTTTTCGTTTCAGAATTAAGTTACGGGCTCATGTTTCCTTTTACACTAAACAATGATTTCATCAAATTGGGGGGGGGGGCATTGAGTTTGGCTGATGAAGGCAATGTCGGGGAAGAGAAAATTTGGATTGGAAATGCATCAAACACATTGGAAATGACTGCATTTCTCTCTACTAGGAACAAAACCAGAAGAGATTACATGAAAACAACTGCAAATTGCCCATTTCAGTCCTTAAAATGTTGGATTTGAATTGGGACAACGTTGATGTATTTTTCACTAAACTCGTCCTTTTCCAAACCACATGCGTGTGCAGTCTGCTTCATCAGGATGTGATTTGATTTGTTGTGTCACCTGTCTGTGATGTTTGATATTGCAGGTGCAGTTTATTACCACATGCACACACACACACACACACACACAAAAAATGTACGTGCAAAACAGTTGACAAGTTGACAGCACTACGTCGCTCAGCAGGACGTTTCCACTGACAGTTTGTTATCGAAAGTGTCACTGCTGACATATGTATTTGCTGGCTTGAACACTACAACACACACACACACACACACACACACACGCACACACACACACACACACACACACACACGCACACACACACACACACACACACACACACGCACACACACACACACACACACACACACACGCACACACACACACACACACACACACACACGCACACACACACACACACACACACACACACGCACACACACACACACACACACACACACACGCACACACACACACACACACACACACACACAAAACAGACACAAATTATAGAAAAAATGTTAGGGTGTGTGAACAGAAGTTTGCACAGGAAAGAGTTCAAGTTGGAGGAACAACCCCATTCTCTCTCTCTCTCACACACACACACACACACACACACACACGCAAAAAGGACAAAAAAAGACAGGAACACAACATGAATATCCTGTGCAAGTCATTCCAATATCACACACACACACACACACGCACACACACACACACACACGCACTTCCCCTGTCTCCTGTCTTACTACTCCCAGCCGCCTTTTTCAGTCCAGGTCAAAGGGAGTACATTCCTGGAGAACAACACACACACACACAGACTTACACTGCGGGGCTGAATACCTGAAGGAGGAAATTGTGTCCCTCAGCGTGAACCTTTGTTCTTTTAATATAAGTCATGTTGTAGGTGAAGCATCGAGACAACAAGCTCTTATTAACTGCAGCCACATACAACATATGACGCCATGATGTCAGCTGAGAAGAAAGTTGATGTATTTATATTGTATATTTGTATGAGGTCAAGACTAAAGTTAACATGTTTTTTAGCATCAGTCAATGTTATGACTCTACATGAGCAGAATGAAAGAATTATGGCCTGACTGATATTACAGTGGATTAGAGTTGAAAATTAGTCAATCAACTGATTAGCTGAGCGACAGAAAATTAATCTGCAACTATTCTGGTAATGAATTAATTGTTCGGTGTTTTTTAGAGCAAAACTCCCTGGTCTCTTCTAGTTTCAGCTCCTCAGATGTGAATATTTATTTGCTTTTCTTTGTCATATTTGATAGTTAACTGAACATTTTGGAGTTTTTGACCGTTGGTTGGATTAAACGAGCATTTTCAAAACCTCAAAAATCACCTCAGTGTCAGAGAAACTTTAATTTTTCAGTATTTTCTGAGATTTAATATCATTCAAACAATTAATTAACTGAAAAAACAACTTGCAGATTAATCAATAATGAAAGTTATTGTGACAATAATACTGACTGTATCGAACTGGACATTTTACAGTTGAACCTGTCATTGCCCTCTGGAGGACAAACTTTGTAATGGTGACACTTAAAGCTGTAACTAACACTCAATAAATCTGATTATTTTCTTTCAAAACCTGATTAATCCTTTTGTCTTACAAATGTAATGTTGTCTGCAATGACTTCTCAAAGTGTGTTGTTTATTTCCAACCAATAGTCCATTCTCAAAGATATTCGATTTACAATGATTTAAAACAGAGAAAAGCAGCTAATGTTCAAATTGGAAAAACTGCAACCAATTCATTCTTTAAGTTTTGGATTGATAAATTACTTAACAATTTGTCAAAATAATTGGCAATGGATTTTCTTTCAGTCGACTAATCAGTTTCAGTTTATGGTGCAAAAAGACAAACTTTAACAGTGACATTGTCAATCACCCACCGGCCAACATTTACACAGATACTGATAAACACACTTTCAGCTAATATTTCAGTCTCTAAAAAGAATCCCTGTCATCTTCTAAGTCAGTTCCTAAACCTCTGATACACACTTCCCTCCGTGATGCCTTTTATTTTGCTGCTTTTCAGGTTACTTCTTTTTCTGGAATAAAGACTGAGGAAATTCGAGGTCTGCGCCAGCTCTCAGATCTTTGAAATTCAGGCATTCCTGTTAGTCACTGCTTACTATCAATAAACAACATGAAATAAATGTAACTGTACTATACTATTCTGTTTTACTCTACTTTATTGTATGTGTCTTTTTATATTGCTTGTTTCTTTTATATTTTTGTTTTAATGCATTTTTAAGTCTTGTAAAGTAGTTTACCTTGTTGTTGAAAGTTGAAATGTAAATGAATGAACCTTGCCTCACCTTCTTTAACTCTTTTAATCTATTTAATGAGGATAGTGTTTGATATATTTGATTTTGGCTGCTTTTCAGCTCTAATTAAATCAAATTAATGAATTAAATAAAAGCATTAAATTGTATTAAATGACCCCTATCTTTTTGCTTGTGCTTTGACTGTTAAGTCTATAAGTCATAGCTAACACCGACTTAACAAGGTGACATCCTCAGGCATAAGTGAAGGGTTAAGAGGGTTTTCAAAGCAGATGGAAGTGGAGTGGAAAAGTTGCTTTGCAGTGACCCCATCGTGCAGCCTCCTCTGCAGCCTGACAGAAATCAGATGGCAGCTGTGTGTAATCTCCTAACAGTAGTTTCAAAATAAATCCTGCAGGATGGAAACTCATGATGAGCTGTGAGCTGCCTGTTTGTCTGTAAACTGTCACACTGTTAGAATTTGTGCAAACGGGCTTTCTTTCTTTTTCCTCAGCCTCCCCGTAGGTTACACTACCACCCAGACCGATCACAACAGCGGATCGTGACATCTGTGAAACCACTAAATAAGTCATTGGTTTTCCACTGGCCTTACCTTTTCTTTCCTCGTTCTTTGCTTTTCCATCTCTGTCTGCTAAATCCGGCGACAGCGGCTCCAAACTTTCATCCCACAGCTGCAGAGAAGCAGGACAGGAAAACACTCAGCCACCATCCAAAACAATACAAGCCCTGAAGTTCACTGAAGCTTATCCAGAGTCTACTGCGCTTTGAATAACCGATGAAGTTAAGATGGGGAGACTCGTGTGCTATGTAGCGATCCTCCACAGTTTTTCTTGAGGAAAGTTAATCCAGAGTAAGTGCGCCATGTTCCCACAGCCGATCCTCTCCCCTTAGCGGAATTTTTGTCCGGTGAGAGGCGGGGATCCGGTCGGCTCCATGGCTGCAGCCTTCAGCAAGGTTTCAATTACATTTTCATGACATCAGAGAGGAGTTGAGTTACCTGACAGATATTCATTACAACAGGCCTGTACGCACTGTTACCGTGACAGTGTGGTGAGTTAAGAGGAGTTTAAAAGTAATGGTACTTTATTTGTGGAATAAGTGCTCAGTTTATCATGGTTTTTAACTTTTATTAGGATTCAAACAAACACAAACAAACAATAATTAAACACATGGAACATATGTTGTATAAATGACAGGAAGCAAATATCCCCCAGCTGTGTTTTTTTGTTTTGAAATGTTCTATAGACTATCGTCAATGCCACTAGATGCCGCACTGGATCAACAGCATCTCAGACCACAACAAATGTTCCGCCGGCCACAACCCCCCTCAGCCCTCCCTTTAATTTCTCAGTCAGCAAGGTGTTACAAAGCCCAATGAAAGCCGGATAAACACACAACAAGAAGCTTAACTTAATAAAGTAACCGTGTATACACGAAAACCAACAAAAAACAAGCTAACCACAACCGTTAGCCCGCGCTAGCATTGCCGCGATATGCTCCAAATGTTTACAGTTAGCCAGCTAGCGATAGCAATGTTAGCTAACATTATCATGGCCGCTGTAGCCGGTACTAATGACAACAGACATGTACCCATCAAGTTACTTACACATAATGAGAAGAAAGGCCAGTTCCAAATCATGCTGGGCCATTTAGCAGCTCATAGGGCTCTCCACCTCGGTAAATCCAGCCGAGAATTGGCTCCATGAGACTGGGAAAGAAATTCAGCCTTGAACTTATCCGCTCCTAACAGCCACAAGAGCCGGTAAGAACTGTTAGCCGAGGCGTTGGGCCCCATAGTCAATCCACCTATGCTTTCGTGTTATCTCTATCTTTGCCAGAGTCATTTATACACAAAAAAACACGGTCTCTTCAATGGAGGAAATCTTAAAAGGTGGCTTTCACCTGACCAACTGTTTCATCTTGCGCATGGGCGGTCCCTGTGTGTTTATAAACATGGAGAGGGCCAACTGTTTGATTACAGGAGAGACTCACTACCGCACATGCTAACAGCACACGTACAGGCACTAACACGCATGCGCTGCCAGACCAGATCACAATAGAGGGGGTGTGGCTTCATTCTCCGGTCAAGATGAGATGACTCCATAATATGTTTACATAGAAAATAGCTGCTTGCTGCTATATTGCTGTTTAAAATCTAATTTACAGAACATTTAAATAATTAGTTCAATATTTTCACAAGCAGACACTTTTATAGTCGGAAAGGTTGATAATATTAAATCTGTCTATTAAATATGAAGCCGCCTGAGCCAGGAGGCATTTAGCTTAGCTTAGCATAAAGACTGGAAACAGGGGCAGACAGCTAACCTGGCTCTATTCAAATGTAACAAACCCCACCCACCATCACCTCCAAAGCTCACTATCTAATATCTCCTTTGTTTGCTCTGTTCATAGAGTAAAAATAAAAGATTGTGGTTTTATAGGGGTTTATGTGGGAGTTTCTCCTGTTTGCCTGGAAAACTCACTGTGGTGACAGGAAGTCACTGCCTGCGGCCAAGAAATAGTACAGCACATAACCTCAGTAAAACTTGTCATTTTTACACCTGAGATTTTGTACATAAATAAATGAAATATAATGTTTTTATTAGGCAAATGTTCTTTTGAACACAGCCAAGCTAGCTGTTTCCCCCTCTTCCCAGCCTTAATGCTAAGCTAAGCTGACCACTACTGTCTCTAGCTTCATATTTGTTGTACAGACACAAGAGTGGCATCAATCCTATCATCTTAGAGTCTTGTTGCTAGAAAACAATAAGCGTGTTTCCCAAAATGTCAAACTATTCCTTTAAATTTAATCAGTCATACATACATCATAAACCAAAAATATCACAGTGTGTTTCTTATGTACAGATATTTACATACTTTTTCCCCCCACTTAGGCCTTTCCTTTTTCTTTGCTTTCGTCACAAAAGATTTGCAACAACACAGTACAAACATTTACAGGTACAATAAGTGCAGCAACAGTGATTAGCGAGCAGGACTGTAGCCATGATTTTAGACATACTGAGGTCAGGAGTACGCCCCCCCCCCCCATGAAATGTCCGATGACAGTGTACATGAATAAATACTTTCACATTATGTTTATTTATTTAACTGTTGAGTTATGTTATATCTCCCTACATGATAGTCTAAATGCTGCTCCGAAGTATCCTTCACATTGCAAGGAATATAGTTTACAGCTAAAAATAGTCACATTTAAATTGATATTGACACCAAAGAATATCTGAAACAGTCCTTTAAACCTCTGTAGATGTTAAAACGCCCCAGACACAACCAGAAACAATAGGAACATGACCTCAGTGTCCCCAGTGGCGGCTGCAGTCCTATAGAGGAAATACTGTAGTGCAGACTTCGATGTAGAGGTACATAAAAAGGTGAGTTAACCATGACTTCCTTGTTATTCTAGTCTCAGAAAAAACAACCACGAGTGTTTCGTGGCAGACATCTTAATTTGTCACGGCAGGAAAAGCAGCAGAACCGCAGGGCTGCTCTGAATGAAATGCAGTCATAGTTAATGTTATAAGTTACACCTGTGCTTTTGCTGCGATGACATGCCAGAAGGTTTATTATACTCGAGGAAAACTTTATAGTTTGTTCCACAGATTCAAAAAACAATTTGGCCTTAACTCAGTTTCACTTCCCTGATGTAACAACATAAATACATAATACTACAATATTTAATGGAGATCAAAAGTGTTCATCATTAAATAAATAAGTCATTTTTGAGAGTTTCACGGTTATATTTATTTGTATTTATTCATATAATTATAAATTTCATGATGTCTTATGTTTCTATTTAATATTGAACACTTTGGGTCTCCATGATAGTCACTTTCAGACAAGCTCTCTCCCTCTAACAGCCGGCTGTTGAGCATTTTGACCATGTTTTCTGGTCTTGTTCTTTTGTTTGGGCCGAGTCATCCTGAGACACAGTCTGTGAAGCTTCACCGCTCTGTCTTTTCTTTTCGCCCTCCTGGTGTTTTGCCTCCTGAGCGTCAGTCTAACTGCCTGTAGATGGTGCTGCTCCTCCACCTCTGCACTGCTCCCCTGCTCCAGCGGAGGGAGATCTGCTCTCACCAGAACTGCTGTACAGCTGTTGAAAAAAGAGGAGGCAGTGATGATATTATTGCTTTAGTACAAGTTCGAGGTGCTTGTACTTGAGTATTTCAATTTTATGCAATTTTATACCTTTACTCCACCACATTTCACAACAACAATCTAATAATGTCAGATATAATAATATATCAGCCACAGGGGACGATTTCTGCAGAGTGAGTGCTTTTACTTGATATTTTAGGTGAATATAGCTGATATTATTTTTGTACTTTTACTTAAGTTGGATTTCAATTGCAGGATTTGAAGTATTTTTACATTATTGTATCAGTAAGGTTACTTCCACCTCTACTCTACATAATTATCATAATATATTATATAAAAAGCTGATAAATCACACAGTGTTTCAGTGTTTTTCTCATAGCCCGGTGGTGTGGATATATATCTACAGTGCGTCTGTGTTCGTATACTGACGTTTTGCCTGCTGTGCAGTCCTGTGGCAGGAAGCAAGATTGAGACACATATCCAAGCAGAAGGGCCTGTACTTCGGTCAGTTTTCTTTGTTTAACCAAAGTCTGGAAAAATCTGGAAAGACAGCGAGAGAAAACAAACATCAGAGACCGACAGACAGACAGACAGACGCGCCAAAAAAAACAACAAACGCAGCAGATTTTACTTCTGCGCAGATTCAGAGAGTGTGACGGTGAATGTATGTGTGCACTGCTTTCGGCCTACTTTGTGTTATGAAACACCACACTAAATCTGCCTTGTCATACTGTGTATACACAGAAACAAAGGTGAGTGCACCATTATCACAAAGTCTGTATATTCTCTGCAAAGAGGGCTAGAAATATTTATTCCAGGGATTAGATCAATTTGTGTAATATAGACATGGTTTGACTCATCCCCTCGACTTGACTGGATGATTTTGCCAATAAAATACAGAGTTTTATGCAAAAAAAAATAAGCTACATTTTCAGCCTGATTGGTATCTATTGACTGGTAATGGTAGATTTACCTGATGGTACAGTTGCAGTGGTACAGCGTCCTGGGCTCTGGGTTGTGGAGGCCATATCTCCTCTGCTGGGGAAGGATCTTGTTCCTGCACTCATCGAGATCCTTATAGACACCACATGACAGCTGCATCTCTGTGGAGGGGGAGGCATCGAGGGACATGTTTGGTTTCGTTATTTTTGTGTAGAGAAATAAACCGAGGTGCTGGAGAGAAGTGCGTGATAATGAATACCTGCGGTGTCAGCATCCGGCTCAGTTCGGTTTTTGGTGGGTAAAGTGTTCTCAGGTACGGAAACTTTGGGTCCCTCCGGTGTGTTTGTGACTGTGGAGGTGGTGACATTGGTGACAGGAGTGATGGAGGCTGAGGGTGAGCTCGTTGACGGTGTAGGGACGGTGGACGCAGCAGCGGTGATGGAGAAGAGCTGTGGGTCTGCAGGTATGGTGGCGTTGGCGTTGGAGCTGGTACTGTTAATGCTGACCTCTGACTCGTACAGTGTGGGTGGATGGACATCAGCATACAGAGCCATTTTAGTCTCTTTACACCTGTTGAAGTCATGTAAAGGACGTGTTTGAAATTTTGGGAAATACAGTTATTTGCTTTCCTGCAGAGAGTTAGACGAGAAGTTATATATATACATTGCACATCATCTAAATCACTGATAAATCACAAAACTTATTTATTGATTTGTGCTCCAGATCCAAACCTATATACACCACAGTCTTACTAAATAAATTAAACCTTTACTTACATTCCAAACCAGTTTCTCTCTGTGCACTGGAGTCGGTGGGAGAACTCAAAGCAGTGCATCTTCAGCAGGTTAAAGAAGGTGTAGCCCACCACGTCAGCGATGCTGTCGTTCGCCTCCATCAGACAACTATGAAACCTATAACGTGTCGTTTTGGGTCCAGAATTAGAAATAAAAATCATCGAAGAAAGCACACACAGATAAAATGAGGTGGTGAGGATACAGTAATAAGTCCCTACTTGTTGTCGCAGTCGCAGTGAGACATGGTGAAGATGTTGCTGTTGAAGACACCGAACTCTGACTGAAAGGACAGGATGGTGTATTTGCACTGGTCGTGTTCCCGGCAGCAGCTGTCCGTCTCTGCAAAGACTCCTGCAAGAGATAAGGCGACAGTTTTATTCCAGCCTGATGAAATGATCATTAAAAACGTCCCTGCATCTTAAGTCATTTACCAGCAAAATTTCAAAGTGTGTTTATACTGAGTCAGTTTTTCAGAACAAGTGAAGCAATAAACATTTGATCGGCGAGTTAAAGGGACACGCCGCTGAAGTTACAAAGGCAGTTTATGAGTCATCAGGACTCTGTGGCTCTGGAGGAGCGTTGTCAAGTCTGAGAAAACCACTTAAAGGTATTTTGTGGAGTTTGTGACCACTAGTGGCGCTGTAGAGCGAGCGAGTGCCCGTTTTGTTTGTTCCTGTACACTGTTGACAAGATTCACTGTATTCCACTGCCCTACAGGTGGGGGTAAACAGCCGAGAAATACAGCAATGCAACAACAAAGGCAGGGAACTCATAGCAAGTAAACAAGTTTAAAAATCTTAAGAAAAAAAATCTGATGAATTTATGAGGAAGGAAGTTTGTTTGCTCATGAGAAAATGTATTTAAACTTCCAGTGATCCAGTGATTTGGGGGCCACAAGTCAGGAAGTCTCGGCTTCTGCCGCTTCACTTCCTGCATGGAAGTGCAATATTAAATCACGGAGTGCCGCTTTAAGTTATTAGGCTCATTTCTGTTCATATGACATCTGCTGCATGTCTGCCTGTCCTGAAAGAGGAATCTCTCTTCTCTCTCTTCTGTTGCTATTCCTGAGGCTTCTGAGTTTCTCTCCTTGTCTGTTTCGAGAGTCTAAAGAGAAATGTGTTGGACGCTGTGATGAACAAATGTGATTTTGTTCCACTTAAAGAGACGCTGAGTCGGCTTCACGCCACCAGGAATTCAACATTTCTAACAAAAAGTCTGCAACTGGAGGGTGTAGGATTTTGAAAGATGTGGACATTTGCCAGGCAGAGGAATTCTAATAAAGGAGGCTGTTGAGTTGCATTATGGGAAACGTAGGATCCAGTTTTGCTGGAGCTCAGCCCATGTGCTAAGGACAAACAGTCAGCACACCTCAGTTTCTGCTGCATCAGATTTTACAATTCTTTTCTTTTTAAAAATAAGTCACAAGTCCCACAACTTTATAGAAGGACAATAATAAATTGTTTCCCATCTGTGACTTTTACATGAATATAATATTGAACTATTTAACATCTTGTGGCTCTCATCACAGGAGACTTGGAGTGGACATGAGGTGTTAACAGGTTGAAAGAAAGAAGAACAAGAAAATGCAAAATGCAAACATTCAAGAAGGAATAAATAAACATATTTGTTTCTTATTCCTCTAATTGTCTCTCTCTAATGAGCTCTAACCAAGCTCATACATGGACAAACTTAGAGTGAGATATGAAATCAACCTACCCAGATCTGCATATGATGGCGCCTTGTTGCCAGAGCCGCACCAGAGAGTCCCGGGTACAATGAAACCGCGCTTTACACGCTTATGGATCTTGACCTCTGACCTTTCATCTTGACCTTGACTGTTCTGAGCGACGCTGTTCCTCCTCCTCCTCCTCCTCATCGGCTTTTTCCCTGTGCGCCCCCCGAGCTCGGACCCCCCGGGCCCTGGAGAAGCCAGAGAGACGCACTGCTCCTCGCCCCCAATCATCGACTCCACATCGAAATTTTCATCCGGCTCATCGGAAAACTCGTGCGCGCGCTCCAGGCACAGAGAGAAATAGTTGTGGATCACTGCCGCGTCGTCGCTCCAGGCGCAGCTGAGCAGAGCGCGCTCCTGCCCGGACCAGGCGCTGTGGTAGAGCCGCACGGATGGAGAGCCCCGCCGGAGGAAACTGTAGTGCACTTCTCCGTTAGACAAAACTTTAGACCAGGCGCAGAGGACCGAGGTTTCCGCAGCCCCCAACCCCAAGAGTGAAGATGTCAAAATGAGAGTTAAAAGAAGAAGAGGAGCGATGTGCGTCATGGTGGCGCGTGGAGGAAGCAGCGGCTGAATGAAAGAGGCTGAAGAGGCTGAGCTTCACCAAAACAAACTGTGGCCTCACTCACTGAGGACCTTATGACAGATTGACAGACTCCAGGTCGGTTATAAATGAGAAGGAGGGGGGAGGAGGCGCGCGGGGGTGTTTCAGTGGACCTAAAATAAACGCAACATCCAAATCAGCCGGAGTCATGTGACCTGTCAGAGGAGTCAGACATCAGTCTCTCTCTCTCTCTCTCTCTCTCTCTATCTCTCTATCTCTCTGCCAGTGACCATGACATAGGCCTATTGATCCCCACACACACACACACACACACACACACACACACACACACACACACACACACAGGATATGTTTATCAATCTGAAAATGTGACTAATATTGATAAGTGACTGCCAAAAGGCTTTAAAGTAGCCTGATCAATTTATATTGATTGATAAATGCCACATGAGACAAACAGCCATTTGTTTTCTTGCCCAGTTACTTTTGCTGTCCTCAGTTTTTTTTTCACTTTCTTGGGCCAAGCAGATAAGAGCTGGTCTATTACTACAACTGTTGAAGTGTCAGTATGAAACCACAGACTGTGGCTAACTTAGCTTAGCACAAACACTGCAAACAGAAAGCTCATTGATTAAAACACATCTGTTTGTTAGTCTATGTACTTGACTGGACTACTTTATGGTCAGTGGAATAATGTCAGGTGGTCTACCTGTAATATCAGGTACCTGGTATTAGTCTCACCTCATGTAAAGACTAAACAACACACACACACACACACACACACACACAGCTCAGCAGAAAGAAGGAATGAACCAGAAACATTCAGCATCTAATATTTAGTCAGGTGCTTCCTTACACTCAGACTCAGTAAGGTGAACAGCAATAACCAGTTATATATATCTATATATCCGTGGAACAGCGCCCCCACTTGGCAGCACTTTACAACAGTTAACCTCACGTCACCTTGTTACAAGAGCTTAGAAAAACCTCAGTTTATCTGTTTATTATCTTCTCCTTTCAGAGTTTGATTGAATTGTGCCGGGAACATCATATTTGAATGTTGAAATTATTTGTTTATTGCACAGATATCTGGTGTTTATCCAGCCGAGGCCGTCGAGTGACTGCTGCTGTGATTTGACCGAAGCTCCAGAACGTCAGTAGCAGTGACAGTGTTCAGTGATGTTGTTGTTGTTGTCATCGTCACTGGCATCAGTTCTGTCTGTTTGTGTTTGTTACAGATCTCCTCTGGTCAAACAGACAAAAATAAAACTGTGTTCGAGGTGTGCTTCTTTCATGTCAGTGAAGTGGATGACTTCATTTATCTGTGGTGTTTGTCAGGTGTTTTATTTTCAGTGTCCTTTCGATGCAGTTTAGTAAAACATTCACATGCAGGTCAACTGTCCTGTCTCTGTATCAGGGTTTACTGGAATTTCCATTAAGACATTAAGGTTTAAATTGGTGTATATGACTAAACAAATATTAGCAATGAAATATATAATAAATGAATATGGAGATATTATTTTGATATGTTGAGGGGAGCGTGTTGCAGTCAAGAGGAGGTCGAGCCTCTGTCTCTCCTCCAATCATTTTTCTACAGTCACTAATCTACAGCACATTTATGGAAAATCACAAGGAAGGTTTGTTGTAAAGTATAAAACGTAAAACTTCAGCTTCCGTCAGATATTTTTTGAGTGATTCAACCTGTTTAATTAACACTGATGTAGTCTTTATTCATCTCGATGGACTGAATTTGAACGAGACTGAAAATGATACTGAAATTCTCTAGTTTTTATTTCAGATAATTCCTTTATAAACGAGTGTTATGGTCATGTTTATTCAGACAGATGCTACCCCCCCACCCCCCCCCACCCAACCCCCCGCCCCTAAAGCAAATACATCAGCTTATAATAATTACTTTTATGACATGTCCTTGAGTGACAGGAGAGGGTAACAGGAGCTTGAGGGGGGTTAGTTTGGTCTAATTTGTGATCTCAAATCACAGATTGTGTCCTCAGTGTGGACATGAGCTGTGAGCGGGACGACCACAGAGCGACTGTGAGGTGAACATATCCAGAATTTTACAAGGAAACAGCAGAAACTAAACGTCATTCTGAGCAACATTAAAAAAATTTTTTTTAAAGATGATCAAACTCTAAATTCATTTATAACTTCAGACTGACAGTAAAGTCTGTAAATTATTCATTTACATTTTATTTCTCACCTGTTTTCTGACAAAAACAAGAGCAGACGTGAGTTTTACAGATAAATTACTGAATGAATGTATAATTTCACACATTTACAAGTTGCTTATTTTGCTCTGTCGTCCGAACGTCTTGGGGTTACGTCAGGTCAGCTGTGTTGATGGATCTTTATTATTAAATGTAAATGTTGTATCTGCAGATGGGATGGGAGAACGTGGATTATCTCAAATTCAAGGCCAGAAGTTTTCAGAGTGTAACAAGCGCGTAAACTTTTACCCACTTGGAGAGAGGTATTATCAGGAGGGAGGTCAAAGTTCACCAACGTCTCAGCTGCGTGTCCGTCTGAGCTGATTGGTTCAAACCTCACCTGATTCAGCCAAAGTTTCCTGCCATGTCACAGTGTATATAAAAAAGGCGGAAGAGCAAAGGAAGTGCAATGATGTCTTTATTTATTAGCCACATGTTCGCTACACTATGAGTTCAGACATGCATCAACATGAACACAGAGAGAAAAATGTAGCTGAACCAGATCGATTTAATTAACCTGCAGTTAGAATATATCCATCAAATGTACGTGTGGTTTCCTGGAGCAGCGCTTACGTTGCATGACTGAATTCGTTCGTCATAATTAGACGTCATGCAGAAGCATTTTTCCAGCAGAAAGACAGAAAGCTCACACATGCACAGGAGGAGGTGACACAGTGTTGTGACAGTCGTGAGAACGAGACCAACATTTTATCTGCATCGAAACGCAAATGCAAATCAAACGGGGAGAGTTCTGTTCACATCGGCTTCAGCAAACCGAAAAACACCTGCTCGTGTCCCGTTTAATATTGAACATACGCACGGTAACGTCTGCGCAATGACACAAGTGGAAAAATGCATGTTTTGGTGATGCAAGCACTTGGACAACGTGGTCACATAGATCAGCTGATATCACAGTACGATGATCTCGTATGACACAGATCAACATGAGGATAAGAGAGGTCAGACAGAAAAGTGGGATTTCCCTGGAGGCACACGTCATCACAACATACTGCCTGAAAGACAATGATAACAAGTTTAATCTTCTCCATAAAATATGATAAATCACTGTTCAATCATTACCGCCTGTCAGGTAAGGTTTAATTATCACATGATAAAGTTTATGATATGATACCAGTGAAAATGGCAACATGGCAGCGTCCTGGTTTTACTCAGTGGTCACTCCTTATTACAAAGAGCCCCAGGGTCGACATCCATGTTGGTCACCTGAAAACAGCTGGAAATGTAGCTTGCACATTTTTACTTTGGGACAACCTACATGAAAAGCAAGAGGATAATATCTGTCTACCCGTGCTCACAGGAAGACAATATTCTACAGGGAGGAAGAAGAGAGAAAGAAAATCCACAGGAGAGGAGGAAGATGTTTTAATCCTCGAAGTGAACAGAGTTGTCATTTAGCAGAACATGCCAGCACTCGATCTTCTTGTCTTTGTTCTTGAGGCATTCGTACCAGTGCTTCAGACACTCTCCTTTAGCCTGGATGCCTAACTGACATCCTCCTGGAGGCAGACAGAGGAGTGAGCGTCAACACGTCAGCAAAGACCAAGCCTTGACGTACATGCTAACACGCTCACAACGACAATGCTAACATGGTGATGATGTGTGATGATCATGTGATAAGTTTGAAACTAGACATGACAATTAATAAGAAAAACACACATAAACATATATAATTATATATATATGTTGTTTTAATAAACTTGTATATATGAATTAAATATATGTTGTTAACATATATAGTTGTAAAATGTTATAACATATAAAAATTCATCATATAGATAATAATTAGAATCGAATTTTACTCTGGCTATTTCATACATGTTATAAACTTACATCTTTATATATCCTGAAGATGTATATATGTGATAACAATATATCCCCTTATAGGTACCAAATGACCAAAGTCATTTAGGATTCTTCCTCTGGGGACCATGAATGTATGTTTATATTTCAGAGTTGACCAACCAGCCAAGCAACAGACATTCCCATCACGCTGTATTCATGGGTAAAAATGACAAACTGGATGAACAGGGGAAACGTGATTACAAATCAATAGTTGCACTTACCAATGAAATCATTGGACTTTCCCATGTCGTAGTCCCAGACTGAGATGTCCAGGGTTTTCTTGGCGAGTTCAGCGTGTTTGATGTCGTAGCTGAATTCCTGAAACACAGAGATGAGTTTATTACAAAATGTATAACTGGAATCGGGGTAAGCGGAGGACGACAAAGTCCAGTATTAGCAAATAAAAACAGTTTAGAAAAAACTGACCTCATTAAACTCTGGATTGAGAGTCTTCTTTTTTATCTGGGTCTTGTTTTTAGCTTTTTTCCCCATATCTGGCTTCAGACATCTACAGCACAAAAACACCAAGAAGGAGATCGAGTCATTCTAGCTCAGGATGAAGGAACAGTTCAACAGTTTTGGCAATATGTGTTTTTACATCCAGCCAGAGTCAGGCTAGCTGTTTCCCACCGTTTCCAGCCTTTATGCTAAGCTAAGCTAACCATCTCCCAGCTGTAGCTTCATATTTAAAATACAGACATTTTTTTTCATATGTCCACATCGGAGCTGATCCGTACAGTGAGGTAAAACATACACTTTGACGAACGGGTCAGAGTATCCATTGGAGTCCATGGCGGCCAGGTGAGCACAGCGGACCACGCCCACTATGAGACGACCCTGCTGAGTGTTGTACATCAGTGACACCAGGATACGACCTCTCTCCTCTGAATCCTCACTCTCATTCACCTGCACACACACACACACACACACACACACACATACACACACATAAAGTAATGCTACAGTCCATTTCACTGATCCTCATGCTCCTTTGCCCTGTGCACATATCTGAAGGGATTATACTGAGGAGGTTAATGGAGGATAATGTAAACGCTTAAGTGCAAAAGTATCTACATGTGAGATTTATGCAACAGGATTAACTCAACATTTTGTAAAGGTTATGTGAACACTGTTTTTGTGTCTTATTCCTTTTCACATACTCAAAAGATTAGAAATATTTTTTATTATTATCAACAAATCAAACAAAAAGATTGAAATAAAAAATGTGTTAGAGGACATTTTTAGGACTATTTTAACCCACATTTGGTGCTCTAGTGAGTATTTGGGGACGGTGACTGTGACCATCAGGGATCTTTATTCCCCAAATTTAAAGTCTGTACATCTCCCAGCGGGGGGGGGGGGGGTCACTGGGATCATGTTTAGGGGAGGTAACACGAGAGCAGGGAGTGAAAACGAGTTCCCATCATGACTGACTGAACGAATGTAACTGATAGCGGAAACATTGAGTTTCCTATTGACAGTGATACCGGACCTGTTCAATAAGGTCGGTATCATATCAGAGCATCCATACCTTTATAGCTCAGAGGAATAACATACACCAGGTTTTTGGATACACACACACATCCCTTGGTAGTAGGATGCATTCACTGTCACCACACTCCTCCTGTAACTTACATCGTCCTCATAGAGAGCCATGCCGCGGGCTGAGCCTCCGACGGCCTTCTTCACCTGCACATGAAGAAAACCAGTCAGAACAAACAAAACATAAACAAGACTGGAAAATTTAATATGACAGAAGTCAGAAAACAGTATTAAAGGAATAGTTCAGCATTTTGGGAAATAGTTTTATTTGCTTTCTTGTGTCATATTCGAATGGTGGCTCTGAAGCTACAGTTAGCTTAGCTTAAAATAAAGACTGGAAACAAGGGGAAACTGGTAACTTGACTTTGAATGAAGCAAAAATCCACTTATCAGCATCTCGAAAGACCCTTAACTAAAACGAGTCATATGTTGTTTTATCCATACAAACACACAAAGGTAATGACAAGTTGCGGTTTTGCAGTGGGGGCGGGGTTAGACTATCTGCTGAACCATTTCCTGTTTCCAGTCTTTATGCTAAGCTAACCAAACTGTCTCCTGTCTCCATATTTAGCATATAGACATGATACATATCGATCTTCTCATCAAACTCTCGGCAAAAAAGCAAATAATCATAATTCCCAAAATGATGAGCTATTCCTTTAAAGGTTCTAGTGCTATAGATCAGTGAAAAAATAAATAAAAATATTTTATATATATTATAAAATAACATATTTCCTCACTTATCTCAGCTTGTAAACAGGTTTTTGACAAAGCAAAACAATCACCTATAGTCCATTTAGTAGCAGTTCTGGATGTTTCAATCATCTCTCATGATCTTCATCTGTCATGTTATTGTTTTATGTTATGGTTTGATGAGTGTTAAGGACTTCCTGTCTATGTTGGCTTAAATGTTTAGGTTCAAAGTTCCTTCTTGACTTTGGAAACAGCAGCTGACAAAACAATCTCACCTCAGCTGCTCCGGAGCTTTTGATCATCTCACATGATCATCTTCCATCAGTAGATGGCGTTGTCATGAAATTATAAATGTTCACATTTCCACTTAAAATGAGATTATTTTGTCAGCAGCTGTTTTAAAGAAACAGAAAAATGAACTTGTTGAACCATGTGGTTCTCAAAACATGAATAAATTACATGTAAAAATTTAACATTAACGTCTTTCTCCAGCAGCTATTTTCTTGAGGAGGAAATTGTTTTATAGAGATTTGGGTGAACTGTACGGAAGCCTAGAAAGGCCACACTTTCAAATGTTTTTTTGTGGAGCTCTGTTTTCTCCAGATAACGGAATAACTATCCCATTATCTCAAGAAAACAAAGCTCCGTTATCTCGAGATAACGGGATCATGAAATATTCATGAGTATGGCCTTTGTAGGCTTCCGTAGAACCGACCCTTTAGGTCAAACATCTAAAAATACATTTGACATTCGACAGCCTGAGATCTGCTCCTCGGGGCTCACCGGGATCACTCTCTCCAGACAAACGTTGAAGTTCTTCTTCTGGTTGAACGTCAGTTTCTTCAGAGCGACTCGCGTCTCCCCGATGAATTCGTTGTGTCCGAACTTGTCCTCGTCGCTCACTGAAAGCCTGAAGACAGACAGTTCACTCTACGATACTTTCATCGTCATGTAGCTGCCACGATGACGGCGGTAAAGCAGGTGGCGGTCGATTCTTACCGGAGAGTTTTGCGCGACATTTCGTCGTCGGTGATGCCGTGGTAGACGAGCGTCTCGTTCCACACGGGGTTCAGAGTGGTTTTAAGTGTCTTGGTGCGAAGCTTGTTGGACTGGGAGAGGACAGAAACCATGAGAGGAGAAACATAATATAATTTGGAAATAACCGTGGAACCGGAGCTCATCGACACGTCAAACCGCTTCGCTTCGAGCAAACAAAGTGCTCTGTTTCACTCGAGAGAATAACACAATAAAGACAATTCTCCACGTCATAAATCAAGTCCCAAACAGCGTGAGCTCTTCTATTTGATGCCACGAGCATTAGCTGATGGGTTACTGCTGCATTATATAATATGAGAGCATCCCAAATTGAATAAACACACCCCAACACCTCCTAATAAGCTGTGTGTGTGTGTGTGTGTGTGTGTGTGTGTGTTATAAACCCACTGAACGCCACGTTTCTTCACAGCGCGTTAGCTGCAGCTTTTACACCATGATTCAGTTTATTTAAAGCGACACTAATCACAGTTTTCAGGCTCTGCAGAAGATGTTTTTAAATCTTTATTTTGCAGCCTGCAGCTTTATTGTTTTGCTCTCGTGAACCTGGTTTCCAGCAGCTGCATCAGACCTCAGGAGGTATAAAATAAAGTGGTTGTACCTTACTGGCTCCAGGTAACAGGTGCAGCTTCACGTACGGGTCAGCGAGTCCGTTTGAGTCCATCGGCTTCAAACCCTGAGACACAGAGACAGAGACGGATTCAGCAGAGACATTCATTCAGCCGTCATTGATTACACATGTCTCTACAGCTCTAATTAGTCAATCAATCAGTTATTGGTTAGGCTTTGTCTTGTCTTGTCTTGTCTCATCTTGTCCCATCTTTAATCTTTTCTTGTCTTGTCTTCTTCTTATTTTGCCTCATCATTTCTTGTTTTGTCTTGTGCCGTCTTATTCTTGTCTCATCTCGTCTTATTTTGGCTTATCTCATTAGTCTCATCACATCTTGTCATATTTTTGTTGCTTCTCATCGTGTGTGTGTGTGTGTGTGTGTGTGTGTGTGTGTGTTTACCTTAGCTTTAATGATACAACAGTGCAGGGCGTGGTTCTCCTGTTGGTAGAGGAGACTGAACTCCAGACATCCCAGAGTCGCTGCCAGAACAAACACACAGGAAAACGTCAGACTCCGACAGAGAAGAAGAATCTGATTTTTAACTGGGCTCCTGTTACAGAAACCAGTTTCCCTCTGAAGCAGATAAACATTGATTTGTCACTTGTCATCGCTCCACTGGGAGCGTCTGCAGCAGCTGTAGACGCTCCAGGAGGAGCTGACACTATTTCAAGTGATAAAAGGAGTAAAAAGCTAAACGTGTGGGACACCTTCTCCTCCTTCAGATCAGGGGGTTCACTTTAGGAAAATAATCAATCATACTTCCATCGTCTGAGTCGTAGTCATTGTCCTCGTCCTGTGTTCGACCTGGAGCTGGTCTCGGGGGAGTGGGATTGTCGGCGGGGGGGTGGGCAGGTGGAGCGGCTCTGGTCGCAGGAACATGAGACGAAACGGAGCTGGAGACAACAGGTTGTCTCTTGTCCTCCACAGCTGGAGCGGCCGCCGTCTCTTGCCTGTCTGAAAGCTGTGCAGCTGGAGCCAGAGACGAAAAGGCACAAACTCTGAAGCCTGAAACATCTTCCTCAGACAGTGACGTTGATGTTGAATGTTTTTGAACGCTGCCCGGAAGCGTGGGGCTTATTCTTAGAAGGGAGCGTCGCTTCCTTACCTGAGGTGGGGGCTGCCTGCTGTGCGTTCGCCCGGGGTGGTTTGGAGGCCAACACATGTCCCTCTGTCTTCATTACAGCTGCTGGACGGGACTGACTCTCATTATAGCTGTCAGCTGTTGTTCTTGCCGTCTGCTCCCATTGTTCTGATCCACGGGACCGCTGCTGCTGTGGCTCTGTGCCGAGCTCTGAGGAGACACAACAAGAGTTTCACCTCCGCCGCCGCGGCCGCCGCTCGCACCAGCACTCTCCTTTACACCGATATCACCGCTCTCATGACCGATGACATTTTAAAAGGTCCATCACGCTCTTTTCTACATCTCAGTCTCTCTCTCTCTCTTTTTCTCTGTTGCACATTTCTTTTCTTTTCCAGAGTGGTGTACCTCCCTCCCTCCCTCCCTCCCAACCCCCAGCCATCAGCTCTGCTCACCACCAAAATGATGGTTTACAAAATTATAATAAAATACTATTAAACATATATCAACACGTTTATATGCGTGTTTACATATCTGTAAATCAAACTAAATAAACAGAATGAAAAGAGGATACAGTCTCATTTGGTAAAGATCAAACTCATGAAATTAGTTTGGCAGATATTGATTCCCAAAATCTGAGAAATGAATCCTGTATTTGAATGAAAATATGACTTTTTTTGTTTGATCATGTGTGTAAGTCTTTCAGTTTCTACACAAGAAGGAAGTTCATTGATCCAAAGACGCCAAGATGGTTCACAAACACAAAGACGTTTCGCTTGTAACAGGCAGAGATTAACCCTCCCTGTGTGTCAGGGGCATGAAATATCACAGTATATATTATAGTTATGGATGAATAATAAGTTACTTAAGCAGATAAAACATGTAACAGGACGATAATGAGAGTTTGTTTTTCAGGGCTTGTTAATGAAACTGAAGGTGTAAAGTCTTTTCTAACACTTCAGGAGGTTTAACCAACTTCCTGTCATGAGTTCTCAGGGACAAAGCTTTTGGGAAAAAGACCAAAGAATCCAAATCTCCAGGAAGACAGGAATCTTTTTTGTGGATTATGTTGGAAATAGTGTTAATTATTTCTTTTCTGGACACATGAAATTGAATTTATTTTCTCTCCCAACAATGAAACCTACAGCCAGGATGATTCTGTGTCGCACGGACGCGTTAGGACAGAAGTGGCCTTTATAAAGTACGGCGGTGCCAGCTCGTGCAAAGTTTAGTTCGTAAAAAGGATCGTTGCGAAATTAAATTGGGAGCCAATGTAAATTTTTAGAGCGATGTCAGAATTGCAAAAAATCTTCCTCAGCAGCGTCAAGTTGCATTTGGCATCATTTCCAAACATGAAGCAAGTTTAGTTGCTTAACTGAAGCGGGTGTAACCACATAGCCGTAATAAAAGTGGTGCTACTACTAAAACCAGTGTTTGCACATGATTTTCAAATGTAGGCCAAAAGTGACATCAGGGCTGCAGCGGCCAACTTGGCATCAGGAGCTAACGCACCATGGCACTGGAGTTTTGTGCCAGTTTCATTTTGTGCGGCGCGTTCTGTAATAACATCAGACAGTCATGACCCGTGGCCAGTGTGTCTCCATGATTGTGTTGGAATGAAACATGAACACCGTTATTTGCCATTTGCCAAGAATAGACTTTTCTATTCTCAAAGTAGTTCTGACTGTTAGTTTATTTATTCTAAGTGCTTTCAAACACCAATTATACTGTGTCATCGTATCAAAGACACGTTGGTAAAAACGTCATAAAATTTAAATTATTACATCAACACTTTTAAACAGATCAATACTTTTAATTAATGCACTAATGATTTTGAATAGATTTTTTATTTCTACTGTGGATTCACTTACAACCCAAGTAATACTGACTATTAATGTTTCATGTGTACTTATACTAATATAATATATATAGCTTTAATATAATATATCTAAACATGTAGGCTAACGAAATGAAACTCTAACATTAACACTTTAAGTATACTTCATAATAATATATGAAAATCCATAAATAATATTTTGAATAATGTAATTCTTGTACACTATTGTGTATTCTTAGAAATAATACACTTACTGTTGACGTAGTACTTCCTATTAGTCCTACTAGAGGATTACGACACTTTAATATATTTTTCTGGTATTTAAATTTAAATTTAGCTCCAAAACTAATAATGTTCTTCAAATATACTTATGTGGTATATGAGAGTATTTAAGTGGGTTCCAGTGAATTGTATTCTTGCTGCTCTACATGCTCATCATTGTCTTGGTCTATGAGTAAATCCACACCAGAGTTTGAAACTGAATGTCTTTGTACGGGTTACCGTGTCCCGGAGGACGTGTTGCAGGTTCCTGCGGTCCAGCGCCGGCCGCCGGAGCAGAGCTGCTCTCAGTGCTGGACTGTCGAGGTGTGGACAGAGGGAGGGGGGCGGGAAGACCCTGCTGGTCTCGTCCCTTGAAGAACCAAGCTCCTGAACGCTTGTGTATCTGCGGGAACACACGGTGAAGTCTAGTTAAGGATGGAAACTGCTGGGTTTATATGAAACAGTACAGTGTAATCACGGTTCTGCAGACACACAATGGCTGACCTTTAAAACAATAGAAAAAATAAAGATGTAGCACCATGACATCATCCACGTGTTTCTGAGGCGACGTTTTGAAGCTTGAGTTTGGTTTTTCATCTTCCCACCGAAAATATCAGAATCAGAAAAATTTGAACTTTAGCCAAAAGAGAGAAATTAGTTTGGAAAAGCCACAAACACCAAAGCTGTGTGTGTGTGTGTGCGTGCGTGTGTGTGTGTGTGTGTGTGTGTGTGTGTGTGTCAATCAACCAAACTTAATACTAAATGTCTCTCTAATTATTAATTGTTTTCTTTTTGTTTGTTTCTGTTTCTACCTGATGAAGGTCAGTCCAGTATTCCCGCTCTTTTTGCTCTGTGTTTGGTCTCCACCGGCTCCTGATGAAAAACATATCTGACTCTTTTATCTGCTAAATGTTTGTAAACGTTCTCCAGCTGATCAGAGCGTTCTCCCTGAAAACATCTGTCTGCTGCTGGAAACGATGCCGATGAGAGGGAAACAAAACAATGAGCCGAAAAAGGCTAAAATGGTGCGTAGAGCTGAAGGAAACCACTTCCTCAACACAATTAGTCAGTTGATCCATTGTAAATAGAAAATATTGATCCGTGAAGCTTTAAAACAGCTATAATCAATACCTCTTTAACAATGTATAGCATGACAATGTGACATAGATTACCAATAGTGATGAACCTGCAGCTCCCTTCACATTCATGGAGCTTTAAAGAGCGTTTCAACTCATTGTTTATCCTCCAGACACAACTTCACTGATGTGTTTCAGAGCATCGGTTCTGTGCTCAGCAGGCAGCTGTATTCAGAGAGAGTTAACCCTTCCCACCCGGTAACAGAGTCACGACGATGTTGTCGTTTTCTTGGAGCTCATCCGTCGATTCGTGTGATTGTTCTCGTGTGTGTGATCTCACTGGCGAATTACAGTTTATTTCTTCTTTTCTTTTGTGCTGTGAAACAGACACAGGACCGCTGTGTATTCGCAGCATTACAGAGGAGTTATCCTGCGCGTGACTGACAGGAGAGAGCATTTATTTAAAGAGTGTGCCCCCCCCCCCCCCCCCAGGCAGAGACCTCAACAAACACAGCAGCATCATCAGAAGAGCACTGTGCAACTGCATCAGAGAGCAGACCTTTTTGTTCATGTTTTATATTGATCAAAAATACTATCTGTATTTTTTAAAAATTAAATAAGGGCTGAAATAAACACCTATTATTCCTTTTGAAAACGGAGGGCGTATCAATGGAGGGTAATTTTCCAGGCCAGTGGACGGTGAAATGCAATTCTGTGCTGAAAGGCGAGTCTAAAAGCTAGAAAATGGTTCATGTCATGAGAAACGTTTTGCTTCTGGAGGCAGGAGAATGACATAATGGGATAATTTGGCATCATGAATTTTTTTTTTCGGCAGATTTTCCCTCCACTCACCTCTTGGTGTTCACTGCAGATTCTGCACAGCCACGCGGGGCACGACCTGCTGTTGCTCCTGATGCCACATTTGCTGCACATGTGCTGCAAAGAGGCAAAAACACGACAAGATGCACATACGGAGGCGCAGAGTCCCGCTCAGATTCAGTGTTTGACAGCAGGTGCACAGAGCACATATATTTTTACAGTTCACATGGCATTAACCTCGCCTTAGTCACTGAGAGCAACAAGAAACAGAGTGTGATGCACAAGACCAGGGAAGACACAGTGTGTGTCAGAACAAGTTAGCGTACGGGCCACTGGCTGCTCATCGCCATAGGAAACCTCTAAGGAGCAACACAACACTATAGAAAATATAGTAAACAGAAGCTCAGTCCCTACGACCTCTGGCGACACGTTCTCTGCTACTGTGGAGTCTGTTTTCTCTCTGCCTTAAGACAGACGTCCACCAACCTTTTTACACTGCACACAGAGGACAGCTGTGACCCCCTGCGGTCCGAATGACGCCCCACACAGCAGGCAGTGCGACTGTCCGTCACCACACGCCGTCTTCTTGATGTTGTCCAGACGACTGGAAAGACGCCTGAGAACTCACGCAGATAAATGACAAAACATGACACAAGTTGTTAGACCAATAATCATGCAACTCACAGAGCATCTCTATCTGCATCTCTATCTGCATCTGAGTCTGCATCTCTATCTGGATCTCTGTCAGCATCTGCATCTGTGTCTGATTCTCTGCATCTGCATCTGCATCTCTCTCTGCATCTGCTTCTGCTTCTGTGTCTGCATCACTATCTATATCTGCATGTCTATCTGCATCTGCTTCTGCTTCTGCATCTGCATCACTATCTACATCTGCATCTCTATCTGCATCTGCTTCTGCTTCTGCATCTGCATCTCTATCTGCATCACTATCTATCTCTGCATGTCTATCGGCATCTCTATCTGCATCTGCATCTGCTTCTGCATCTGCGTCTGCGTCCACATCTGCATTTGTATCTGCATCTGCGTCTAGACAACATTAGACCACAGTTTCCTCTCTCACCCGATCCTCTCCTGCTCTGTGGCCTCCATCAAGGCCGCACGAGCCAGGACGCTGTTGATGATCTCCTTCTCCTCATCCGTGAGCTCCTCCCCCAGGGGGCCGCCAGACCTGTTCATCGTCCACCTAGACCTGAAGCCAAAACACACACACACACAAATATACACACAGAGTGTAAGTGGCGTGAAAAGTGAAAACGCAGCTCGGACAAAAAGGCCAAAACCTCCAAAAAGAGCAGAACTGAGGAGACACTAAAATCTCAGGACAGGAACACAGCTGGAAAACATTCAGGACTGAAGCAGCACGGAGCCACTGAAGACGCTGTCACACACAATAACACACAATGAGGTGATTAAGTTAATAATGCACGTCTGAGCTGTGACCAAGTGATCGTCTGTGAGCAAATGACATGCATTTTGTTCATCAGTCTCTAACTAGAGCCTGAGGGCCACACAGATGAGGAAACTCCAAATTTCAATACAACTTCTAATTTAATTTCTTGAGTTCAGTTCATCCAATTTAAAACTTTTACTTCTGTAGAATAACAACAGAAAATTTCTACTCCTGTCAATTTACTCTGAGTTATAGAAACTATATTTACACACATTGTTCTGATTATATTTACTTGAGTTTAATATAAATTGCACAGACTAATTGTTTTTCTCACATTAATCAACTAAAGATCAGGAAGGTTGACAAGTTAACGAACTTTCTTGCAGATTAAGATTTGAAGGAATCGGGACTCGGAAGACAGAGTTTGATTTTTTTTTGACACAATTTTAGATTTTTCTCTAAATCCTGATCATCTGTGTTTCACAGCACCAACATCTTGTAATTGTTAACCTAACGAATAAACATTTTTAGAATTTAGTGCCAAGAAATGATTTTTTTCCCCATTTTAAATGTTTTAATTGAATTATCTCAGTGATCTGTCAATAATCTTCAGCATAAAAACCCTTTTTATTTCACATTTCAAAAAGCAAGTTGCTCCTGACTCTGCAACAATAAACACAACACTGATCCCAGCAGAGAGGTAAACCTGGAGACACAACTGTTATTATTTGTCATGAAGTTTAAGCGGCATTATTCTAAACATGCAAAGACGTGTGGAGGAAGAGGAGGAGGAGGAGGAGGAGGGAGGGAGGAAGATGAGCCGTTCAGTCCTAATTATCACCACACATTTCTACACGTGGTGGGAAAGCTTCCAGTGTGACCGTCTGTAAGGTTTTTACAGAAACCAAATTTCCAAATGCAGTTGTCTTTCTTTTTTTTTTTTCTTCCATTCAAATGTGTCTGTTTTGTTAATTTTGTGGCTTCCCATCATGATCCTGGTAGAAAATGGGAAGGGACGTTCACCAGCCGGGACTGTTCATGCAAACGCTCTGATCACTTTGGTGTCAGAAACTGAGCTCGTGGTTTCAGCAGAGAAAATATTCTACAGAAAGATGAGGGTTTTTTTTTTTTTTCACCAAATCGAAAGATAACTTCTCTCTCCTTTCCAAACTCGTCAGCAAAGATTCAGAACCACACGAGGACAATATTTCCCTATTTATAATTCTGCTGTGCGCGCCAGGCTGCAGCCATGTTTTTGATGTATTCAGAAACACTGTAAGGAGGCCTTTGTACCTATTTTTAAAGAGCTTAAGTTATGCAAGATTAGATCAAGGTAGCTATATTTGTTGCATGCATAATTGTGAACCACGGCGCTTAAGGCTTTAGGTGAAACTCAAACAGCTGCTGTGCTGCTGCGGGAGGGCTGTGAGGATTAAATCTACCTGTGTCCGGCATACAGGAGAGTCCGTGCATGTACAGGAGAGAGGCGGGCGCGTGCACGGCTTCACCACAGCTTTAAAAACAAACAAACTGCTTTATCAGTGAGGGAGATGACCTGTTTTAATCCTCGGAGTTGTGCAGATGAGTCGAGCTGTTGTCCTGAATGTTGTTGTGGCTGTAGCTGTCTTCTCTTCATGGGACTGACATGAGTGGCTTTTTTGTGGAAAGTCTCCACAACTGTTCGATCAGTTTGTGATCGAAGATCGAAGATTTGATGAAGACGTTCATGTTGCCCAGAAAATAATGAACTCTCCCTCTAACTTTCCCTCTGGTGCCATCAACAGGTCAAACTGCTCATCTGATTTATGTCTGAAAAAAACCTGCAAAGCTAAAGGCGTTCGCACCAGCTTGTGTTCCATGCTAATTAGCAAATGTTAGCTATTAACTCTGGAGTCTTTATTGATTATTAAATATTTCTTTATTTATGTAGTCATGAAGAGACAAACTGGAAGAAATGCTGATGTGGGGCTTTCAAATGTGATGTAATTCACATCTGCAGGCCATCATTTAGTAAAAGACAGTTTTAAAAAAGTGAGTTTATAACATTAATTAATATTTGCTGTCAGATTTATGATGAAAAAGTTGAAGAATGAAATAGACTGTAACTTAAGAGCTTTATTTCTAACATTTTCAGCTGTTTTTTGTTTGTATGAACATGAAACAATATTTTTTACAACCTGAAACTTTTCTTTGATCATACTCTGAATGATCAGAACTAAAGCTGTGTATAATTTTAAAGCCTCCTGTGTTATTTTTCTGACAGCTTTACACACTGACTCCACAGGGTTTTAAGAGTGATCGCTATTTTATTGATCCCATATGAGAAACTGTCAACGCACTTTTTTTAAGATGCAAAAGATGAAAAATACTAAATATTTTCTGGTTCCAGCCTCTTAAATGTGAGTTTTTGATCATTGTCTTTGTCAAATTTGAGAGTAAACTGAACATTTAGGGGTTTTGGGCTGTTGATCAGACACAATAAGACATTTGAAGATGATTCTATAAACCAAACCATTAATTGATTAATCAAAAAAATAACTCAATAATGAAAACAGCTGATAGTTGCAGACACTGAGGTGGTTTTATGCTGCTCCCTCTCAAACACGGGATGTGCGTCGTTCTTTCACAGATTATATATTCATGTAAACTCTTGTGCTTCAAAAATCAGTGACTGAGTCTTACTGCCAACATAAAACTACCTGTGAGACGCGGCCACAGAGATTTCATTTCCCGTCCAAATGGAGAGCCACTCCTTTTAAAAGCTCCGAGAGCAGCTAATGTGATTAGCCGTGATTCATTTCAGCTCTATGACACCTACTGCTGTGCCAGCGCCTCTGGCCCTGAGACTCCCAAACATCTGCTGGTCCTTGTCCAAGTGCACAGGCGCTGTTGTGTGTGTACATGTGCAGCTGCTTGTGCTTGAAAACAGGGTGTTAATTGGGGCCTGACTGCGGAAGGCAAACTGCTAGCTGTAATGTGTTACAGCGGTCTGGGCTGCAGCGTGCGCGCCTGGAGACATTTCCACTGCAGAGAAGCGCGCTCATTATCGTTTGACAAGAACATTGTTAAGAGGAGAGCGCGACCTCGACTTCTTGCCTCTGGTCCAACCGGGCCGCTGAGACAGACGCCACCTCCCTCCCTGACTGACCCTGCAAGGTGTTTGCTGACAGTCAGGAGAGAAAGTAGCGCCCATGTTAAATCATATTTGACTTTCTCTGCACAGTGAAAACATTTTATCGCTAATTAAACAAGGTCATAAATCTGTGTTTAAGGGGTTTTAAAAGAGGTTAACCTGAGCTGTGTCAGGTATTAGGTGTATGACTGTGTCCGAGCTTTAAACATCACATGTGATCAGGCCGCGGCTGCTGAGTAAGGATATTTAAATGACTCACATACTTAACAGCTCAGTGCCCTTCATCTTCCTTCATCTTCCTCATCCTTTCCCCTCCTTTTGCTCCCTGTTGTGCTCCCTGAAAAATGTCCTGTCCCCAACGCATGTAAATGTCAGGGGTTGCTGTCAGTGCAGACAGCGTGGCAACCTGACAGAGTGATGTGTGTGTGTGTGTGTGTGTGTGTGTGTGTGTGTGTGTGTGTGTGTGTGTGTGTGTCTTGAAGCGTTATCAGTGAGAGAGAAAAAGGTGGGGGTCCGTATGAAATGGCACAATGACACTTTCAAACCGTGAGTCACTCCACTTTCAATGGATTACACACACACACACACACACACACACACACACACACACACACACACACACACACACACACACACACACACACTCTCATTATGAATTAAAATCACTGCAGTCTCAGCCTGGACCATGTGGAAATGAAACATAACAATAAAGGAACTTGGGTTTCCTTTGCAATCAAATGCTCAGCGGTGGAATTAAAGTATCAATACCTTAATTTAAAGTATTAAAGTATCAATAGCAGACTATAAAAATACTCCATTACAAGTAAACTCCTGCATTTCAAATTATCATTATAAAGTAAAAGTACAAAAGTATCAGCAGCATGATGTGTGTGATCTGAACATAGATATTCCCAGAGATAAAGCAACTAAGTACTTCAGTATAGCTTTGAAGTACTTGTACTTTACTTGAGTATTTCCGTTTTGTGCTACTTTATACTACATTTATCTGACAGCAGTTAAAACAGCTTCACCTTGACAAAATTAAAATGCTGCTTCCATGTTAAAGCCTCAACAATAATAATAATAATTCTATGATTTACTCTGATTTGAGCCATTTTGCATGAATGCTTTTTACTTTAGTTTTCTGCAGGTATTTTTAGTATTTTCGGCAGTTTGATCATGTGTTATTACTATTTACTGGTGTCAGTACTTGTTCCACCACTGAAACCTCCAGGGCTGGAAAATGAAGCATCAACACTGAAGAGCCAAAACCTGCAGTTCCTCTAACGACCACTAGAGTCTGGCTCCAACAGTGAGTCAGTCCCCACAGACTCCCATGTTAAAATGTCCAACTTTACAGCAGAAATCAACATGTTTACAGCCTGGTACAAAAACTGTTTTGGTCTCTAGAACTAATTTCCTCCTTCATGACACCTGTTTATATAACTCACCTGTTCACATTTTATTAAGGACTAAAGTTATGGAGAATTGAGGGTGTGGCCTCTTCGAGTGACAGGTGGGTGAGTGCACGCTTGCCACAAACCGACATGTACCGAAGTCTCAGCTCCACACACGCTCCACCTCTTTGCACATTTTTAGATTAGCTGGGAGTTTGGAGGCGGAGTCAGGCACTGCCAAGATGGCGTCAGCGGA